GGTCCCTGGGTGGAGCAAATGGTTTGCAGTTGACTACTAAGCTAAGGGTTGGCAGTTTGAACCCACCAGGGGGACAGGCCTGGCAATCTGCTTCCATAAAGATTGCAGCCAAGAAATCCAATGGGGTCAATTCTATTCTGCGCACAGGGGTTTGCCATGATTTGGATTTGTTAGTTGGGTTTGTTAGAACTTATCACTTAGCTCCCAGTTCTCTCATGCCTAGCTAAAACCCAAGAGCCCTAACTCTTACTGTAATTGAAAGAGACATTATGCTACTCCAGAGTGAAACAGGGAAACACATTTTCTGTAGCAGAATCTATGCTCTCTCTCTCTCTGTTTTTTTTTTTTTAATGGGGCAGGCATAGGAGGGGAGGGGAGGTGCTGGAGGGAAAGCCGACCTAATGTGTTCTGGTTTTCTTGCCCATGGGCTGAGCAATTTGGATCAAATGTCTCTATTCCCGTTTTTTCAAAACTCAAAAGTGCTTTGAACTTTTCTTCAAAGGAATTACCTAGTTGTTTTTCAGAGGTTGATTATAGCTATTATCATTTCCTCTCAAGAGTTTCTCTTTCTTTGAAAGCATTTGATTTAAATAAATCTACTTAAGCCATATTTCAAATTAGCTAGAGTTACCAAGGGAAAGATTTGGTTTAATCAGGATTTTTCCCCCTTTCCAAAAAAGTCTAATGTTTGATAGGTTAGTGTCTTGTTGTATATGAAGCACAACTTAGAACAATTTTCTCACTTTATATTTCAAAGCAGCATTTACTTGTGCATTTTTTGAGATCCATTTTTCAATTCCTGGGAAAATTGAGTAATAATTGACTTATGTATTTACCAAATCTAATTGAGGTAGGGGAGCTCTGGTGGCTTAGTGCCTAAGGCATTTGACTGCTAACCAGAAGGCTTCTGGTTCAAACCCACCAGCCACTCCTCAGAAAGAAGATTAGGCAATCTACTTCCGTAGAGATACTGCCTGGAAGCCCAAGGGGAGGGGTTATTATGAGTCAAATTGACTCAATGGCAGTGAGTTTGTGTTGTTTTTTTTTTTTTTGAATTGAGATACACTCATGTGACATTCCTGGGAGGTGAACTTCTCTCTAGTTTCACAGTTCTAATTATAGGCATATGTATTTGTAAATTTTAATAATTATAATTATGAATGTGAAACGTACTAGCTCTTTCTCTATATCATATTTTAAATTAAACTCCTTTGGCTAGGTCAGCATAAGCCAGTCAAAATGCAGATTTGTATGCTCTCCACTCCCAAATTCTCTGCTAATCTTGAAGCTGTACTTAAGATAAGGCAAGACTCTTTATTTCCAGATTTGCCTGGGAGCAGTGGGGGGTGATCTCCACTCTTATCTCCTTGCCCTCCTCATCTAACCAAAACCAAACCCACTGCTGGTCAAGTCAATTCTAAATCACAGTGACCTCTATTGGGTTTCAAAGGCTGTAAATCTTTATGGAAGTAGATTGCCTCATCTTCCTTCCAAGGGGCAGCTGGTGGGTTTGAACCGCCAGCCTTCTGGTTGACAGCTAAATGCCTTACTCACTATGGCACCAGAGCTCCTTCCTCAGCTAACAAGCACATTTTTGTAGATAAGTCTGGAGCTGAGGAGGGAACTGAATGAAGCTCCTCTCTGGTGTTAATGGATCCCCAGTGAGATTTGGAATGGAGTCTTTTGCTTTATTCTGAGAAATCTAGCAATCAATTTTCTGAGAATCCTGAGATTGGGCCCATAACATGGCTATTTATGAAGCTTTCCTTAAAATGTTATAATCATTATTCCATGATATAATATCCTTATTCCATGATACTTACTTTCTGTTTTGTTTGTTATGTGTTGTCAAGTTGATTCCTACTCATAGTGAACTCCATATGACAGAGTAGAACTGCCTCATAGGGTTTACTATAATCCTAACGTAATCCTAATGGAAGAGCCCTCGTGATGTGCAGTGGTTAAGCGCTTAGCTGCTAACCAAAAGGTCAGAGGTCTGAACCCACCAGCCACTCTGCAGGGAGAAGATGAGGCAGTCTGCTTCTGTAGAGATACAGCCTTGGAAACCCTATGAGGAATTTCTACTCTGTCCTATAGGGTCACTATGAGTCAGAATCGACATAACAGCAATGGGTAATCTTTATGGGAGCAGATTGCCAGGTCTTTCCTCCTGTGGAGTGGCTGGTGAATTCAAACCTCTGACCTTTTGGTTAGCAGCTGAGTGGTTAAATATTGTGCAATCAGGGCTCTTTGCTTTTCCATTTTACCACAGTAAAACAAACAAGCAAGCAAGCAAACAAAAACCCCACACACCAAACAAACCAGTTTCCATCCAGTTGATTTTGACTCACAGTGACCGCATGTGTGTCAGAGTAAAACTTTGCTCCATAGGGTTTTCAATAGCTGATTTTTTTCAGAAGTAGATCACCAGACCTTTCTTCTGAGGTGCCTCTGGGTAGACTTGAACCTCCAACCTTTTAGTTAGCAGCCGAGCATGTTAACCATTTATACCACCTAGGGACTCTTGAAAACATTATTATATTGAGTAAAATAAGTGAGACAAAAAGATAAATATTGTATGATCTCACTTATATGAAATATCTAGACTAGGCAAATGCATACAGACCAAAGTTTATTAGTGTTATCAGGGGCTGGGAGGAGAAGGAAATGAGGAATTAATGCTTAGGGGTACTGAGTTTCTCTTTAGGGTGATGGAAAACATTGTTGTTGTTGTTGTTATGTGCCATCGAGTCAGACCCAACTCATAGCAACCCCTCCTTGGATTTCCGTGGCAGTATCATTATGGAAGTAGATTGCCCCATCTTCCTTCCAAGGAGTGGCTGGTGGGTTTGAACCACCAGCCTTCTGGTTAGCAGTCAAGTGCTTTAGGCACTACACTACCAGAGCTCCTATGGAAAACATTAAGAAATGGATAGTGGTGGTGATGATTGTACAATATGTCCCTGAATTATACACTTAAATATAGTTAAAAGGACTAATATTTTGTCATATGTATTTTATCAAAATAAAATTAATAAAACAAAAGGAAAATAAAGGAAGAGGTAAATGTTGAGTACATAGTATCTCTAGTTGGTTTGCAAACCCCTGTTGTAGGTTCTGATTCTTTACCATGGAGCCTGGGCTGAAGAATTTAGATTATCTGCAGAGCTATAGGGAGTTTTCAGAGCTCTGTTAGGATAGGGCTCTATTTTAGAAAAGTTATTTCATGACACAGCTTAACCCAAGGACTGTTGGAAGATTTTTTTGACATGGCATCTTGATCTGAGGCATGTGAGTGACTTCATGGACTCAAAGTTCAACCCTGTCCTGTGTCATCTCTTTCCTGAGCTTTCCTAACATTTAACTAAATGCTCCATTTTGCAGATTGATATATGTTAGATTGTAGGAGAAAAATAATAATGAAGTTAAATATATTGTCAGTTGAGGAAGTATGAAGTTTTTGTTCAAGACTTGGAGGTCCTCTCTGACCATGGCCCCTTTTTGACTTAGCTTTAGTGGCCTGAAAGTTTTCTCTTTGAGGAAGACTTAACAGGCATACTTCACTTTATTGTGCTTCACAGATACTGTCTTTTTTACAAATTGAAGATTTGTGGCAACCCTGAGTTGAGCAAGTCTTTTGTCAGCTCCATTTTTCCAATAGCATGCACTCACTTCTTGTCTCTGTGTTACATTTTAGTAATTCTCATGATATTTTAAACCTTTTCATAATACAGTTGCACAGTCAATAGACGACAGTATAGTGCAAACATAACTTTTTTTATGTAGTAGGAAACCAAACAATTCACGTGACTCACTTTTATTGTGATAATTTGCTTTATTTCGGTGGTCTGGAACCAAATCTGCAATTATCTCCAGGGTATTGCCTGCATTTATACTGAAGTTCAAAGGATGAACCTTGATCTTAATACTGAGATCAGCAAAGATGGGGGAAAATATCAGATCAGGGCATACCACTAGCACCTCTCTAATGAGCTGCAGTATCTTTAAGGTCAAAAGTAAATAAGTTACAAAAGGCAAAATGGACTCAGTAGCTTTAGATGTGTTGGGGATTTTCTTCTTCCCAGGTGCCTTAATCATTCAGCAATAAAGCAATGCCACGAGGTCGCTTAGTCTTGCTCCCATTGCCTTCTTTCCAGCATTAGTTTTCAGCATTAGTATTTAGTGCAGTCTAAATTATTGGAAGAGTCCCTGAGCCATGCAAACAATTTGTACTTATGACTAACCTCAAGCCTGCTGGTTTGAACTCACCCCGGTGGCACCATGGAAGATAGGCCTGCTAGTCTGCTCTTTAAAGATCCCTCCACACCCAAGAAAATGCTTTAGAGAGCAGTTCTACTCAGTAACCTGTTGTTGCCATGGATTGGAATAGACTTGATAACAATGGGTAAATTATTGGGCGTTTTATTTTCATGTTCAAATCACCATATGTGCTGCATGGATCAGGGGAATTTTTAAGAGACTTGTATGAAATGAAAACATTCAACTGAAAAGTGTCACCAAGGGGACAGGGCCACCAGCCACAGAAAATCAATCTTCCTTTAGCTTTTCCGCACTTGGGTACTTGGAAGCCCAAATGCTGACTCCACACCTTCTACATGTTTTTCCCTTCCTGCCTTAGTCCTAGAAAGCAAAGCCTCTCCCTCTCCTGAATGACTCATTTGCAAGATTTGGTGGAAATATGCTTTGGTTCAACGTACTTTCAGCTCTAGCTAGATTTTACAGTGAGATCTGCTTGTAAAATATTTCCAGCAAAGCAAAGAAGCCGCCACCTGACATTCTTCCTCCCCTTTTGTCTTGACACTCGTATCTAGGGGTGATGGTTTGCAGCTGCTGCCTAGGTTTTCCTTTGGATATGAAAATAGGTGATAGCCTGAGAGAATGTTTCCTTTCCTGCTGTCTTTTTTTTTTTTTTTTTAACCCTCCTCTTCATTTCCACATTTTCTAATTTGGAGCTGGTTTTGTCCTCCCCCTTCTTGCAGACTTTGGTTTGAGCAACTGTGCGGGGATCCTGGGTTACTCGGACCCTTTCAGCACACAGTGTGGCAGCCCTGCCTACGCCGCGCCTGAACTGCTTGCCAGGAAGAAATATGGCCCCAAAATCGATGTCTGGTCCATGTGAGTTTTTGAGTTTATAAAAGTGAATGGTCTCTCCTATTGTCTCCACTGTCACTTTTGTGTGAAATAACGTTGGAATATTTGGTGAGAATGTTTTCACATCTAGGCTCTGGAATACATAATAAGGGAGTCTTTGGGGATTTTCCATTCCTGCCTCTCCCAGTCTTTTCTACACACACTTGCTGAGTGGTCTTCACCAAAATTCATTTCAGCACTGAGAGGGTGGAAGAAAACAAAGTCTTTGCACTCAAACAGCACATAGTCTGGTTCCATGAATCACTTCATGCCCTTTGCTTACTGAACATCCTTCTAGAACTTTCCATCACAATCACAATAAAACCCTACTTTGGTGCTTGGGTTTCTGTCCTTGCAGGACATGTCTTCTGTCCACCTCTCCTGCTTCATTGCTTACAGTCCCACCCTCTGCTCTTGGTTCTTCAGCCACAGTGGTCTCCATTTCAGTCATTTTCCCTCTTGGCTTTGCATTTGCTATTTTCTTTGTTTGGGCACCAGCCATTCCTTGGAAGGAAGATTGGGGAATCTACTTCTGTAGAGATACCACCTCAGAAACCCAAGGAGAGGTTGTTATGAGTCCGAAACGACTCGATGGCAGTGAGTGTTTTTGGGGGCATGACATTTTCCAGCTCTTCAAGTGGCCCACTCATTCCGATTTCAGTTTTAATCAAATGTTACCACTGTAGGGAGGCCGTCTCTGAGGTCCCCATCACAAGGGTCCCACATGACTCTGTCCTTTCACCTTTTAATTTCCTCTACAACATCCTTCACCGCTTGTAATTGTCTTGCTTGCTAATCTGTTTATTGTCTGTCTCACCAATTGGAATGGAAGCTGAGTAAGCATAGAGATCTTATTGATCTATTGATCTGCTTCACCATTTCATTTGTAGTGTCTGGCTCAATGTGGCCCATTGGGGTTAAGCTCAGCAAATATTCCTTGAAAGAATGACTCATTGGTTACTCTAGAGGTACCATGTCTTGCTTGTGCCCTGTTCACAGAATCCAGGTTTCCTCTTGGTCCCATGGTGAATGAGCCCTCACTATCATGTGTGCCTGATGCAGGAAGCCTTGCAGAGTCCTAGTTCCCTGGGTAGGGATTAAATTCCTTGCTGTGAGGAAGTGGGCTTAAGATAGAGAGATGGGGATCCTCATTAAGATACAGGAGCTTGAGATGACAGGGGCTAATTTCAGTGAAAGATATATTGATCTGAAATGTTGCTCAAATTCCCTGCTCCTCTCCATCTTCTGTATACCACCCTCACCCAGGCTGGTAGAAAAGCTAACACCTGTTAAGTGTTTAGTATGTGTCAGACCCTATGCCATTTAAATTTCACAGTAACACAGTGACATTATTACTCTCCATTATCCCCGTTATGAAAGAAGTCCCTGATCATAACAAAAATGAGTAAAATTGCCAAGGTCACAGAGTACTAAGTAGTGAAAGTGGGATTTGAACTGGTCAGCTGCCTCTCAGGGTCTCAAGTTAAAGCCCCAGTTATTGAACAAGGCTTATGAGGCTCCTGCTTGGCCTGGAGCCTCATCTGAAGTGATTCTTTCTCTCCTCACTCTTCCCAGTTCATTTTTTAGTGAACTCAACACCGTCTCCCTATTTCTTGAATACTGCCTGCTCTTGCCAGCTTTCTGCCCTTGCAAGTACAGTTTCTACCGCCTGGAATTCACTTTACTGATCCTGCACCTCTTCCTTTTCTCTCTGTTTTTTTTTGGATGCCACTTCTGCTGGGCGGCTGTCCCTGCCCATTGATGTCCCCTCAAATCCCTTACCTTCTCTTGTTTTGTCCTTCATGGTGTGGTCATTGTTCACTTGCCTTAACCCCTGGGCTGCAGGCCTGTGGGGCAAGGACCACACTGCCTTGTTTCTAGTGATTGTGCAGCACCTGGCAGAGAGCATGGACTGGAGCAGAAAGAAAGAAGGAAGGAGTGAGGGAGAGAGAGAGAGAAAGAGAGAGAGAGGTAGAAAAGAAGGAAAGAAAAGGAAGGGAGGGAGGAAAAAAGGGAAGAAGGAAAGAAGGAAGGATAGATATTTTATCAAATTATCATCTTCCATGAGGGAGACCCAAATTCCATTCCCAGCGCATTTACCCCCATCTGTCAGGGGAGGCCATATGATGCTGAACAGGTTTTGGTGGAATTTCAGAATAAATCAGAGTAGGAAGAAAGGCCTGGTAATCTACTTCTGAAAAACAGCAAGTTAAACTCCTATGGATTACAACAGTCCAATCCGCAACTAATCATGGGGATGATATAGGACCAGGCAGTGTTTCTTGCGGTGCAGGAGGTCACCATGAGTCAGGAGCCAACTCTATGGCAGCTAAAACATCAACTGATAAGATAGAAGACAGGGAGTCAGGAACTAAGTTGGCAGAGGATGCAAACCTAGAAACATGACCCACTATGAGGGTCTAGAAGTGAGAGATATTCAAGAAGTTTGGATTGGGAATCAGAGAGGAGCCAGTGACTAGAATACAATTATGAGGGATACAGGGTCCCTAGTACCTCTCAAAAAGGGCTGGTGCTTCCTGTAATTTGGGTTAAGAGGACTCAGCCACCCAATGAAGAGGGAGTGAAATGAGTTAGTTGTTACCAGCTTCCTGAGCTGGACACTGCCAAATCTAGCCTAAGTGCTCTGCATTCATTGTCCCCTTCAACCCTCAGGACAGTCCTGTGGGCTGCCTCCCAGCCCATGTTACAGACACAGACAGAGGCCCTCTTGGAGGCACGCAGACTGTAGGTGGTGGAGCTGATCACAAGCTGCAGCCTGAACTCCTGGGTACCATCCTAGCCCAACAGAGTTACAGGCACATCTGCAGGCTGCAAATGGAAGTGAGTGGTGTGTAGAGCCCTCAAGGAAGTGGGCTAGGGCCTCACAAAGAGAGATGGCATGAATGGTAGCAAGGAGCAGTGGCAGGTGATGCCTGTCTTAATCAGGATTCTCTAGACAAACAGAACCAGTGAGACATATATGTTGTTAGGTGCTGTGAGTCGATCTCAAATCATAGCCATCGTATGTGACAGAGCAGAACTACCCCTAGGGTTTTTTATAAGCTGCAGCTTTTATGGATGGAGCTCTACTGGTTCAGTGGTTAAGACATTTGGCTGCTAAGCAAAAGGTCAGTGGTTCCAACCCACCAGCCACTCTGCAGGAGAAAGATGACATAGTCTGCTACTGTAAAGATTTACAGCCTTGCAGACCCTATTGGACAGTTCTACTCTGTCCTGTAGGGTCACTATGAGTCAGAATCAACTCAATGGGAGTGGGTTTAGAATTTTTGAATCTTTATGGAAGCAGATCTCCTGGTGTTTCTTCTGTGGAGCCACTGCGTGGGTTTGAACCACCAACCTTTCAGTTATCAGCTCAGTGCTTAACCATTGTACTGCCAGGGCTTCTTGAGACATTAAATATATATAGTCATATGCCACATAATGTCTGTTCTGGCAATATCTGACTGCAAATACATCTTATGATATTAAAAATTTGAGGTACATACAGTGGTTTGTAATGACAAACAGGTTCTACTTTGGGATGCACATTAAAACATTATTATTACCATAGGAGATCAAAAGGTCAGTATTTGCCCAGGGATAAAGTTAAGGAAGTAGAAAGGGATAGGAAAGAAGGATGAAGAGAAATGGTAAGCAGAGGGAGGAAGTGCTGTTACATTGTGGGGTTTGCAATAAATGTCACAAAACAAAACATTATTATTACTGATGTATTATTATGTTAAAGAGTTTTGGTATATCTGTGTTTCTTTAATGTTTTGTATTCATAGAAAGGTACACTATATGCTATATACTAAGACAAACATTTGATTAACTGACATTGTATACAAACTGTACCTAACTGTTTTGACTTATGTGCAAATTTCACTTAAAGGCAGAATTAAGAACAGAACTTGTTCGCAGTCTGGGAACTGTGTATAATATGGTATTCTCACAATATCCAAATCATGTAATGTCCTTTTTCATAGAACATACCATGGATGTTAAGTGACACATGACTCCATGCACACATGCACACTGGGAAGTCCAGAATCTATAGGAAGGCAACACGGCAGAGACTTATGCAGGTTTGCATCCCAAGATCCATTGGTCAAGTGAAGGGAATGCAGAGTAGGGAGACAGTGAGTTCTGCCAAAACATCTATAATCTAAAGGCAGACCACACCCTAAGGAAATCCCCTTTCAACCTCCTGCATTAAATTATACTATAGAAGGTGATTACATTTCATGGTTGTTGTTGTTAGGTGCCATAAAGTCTTCTCTGACTCATAGTGACCCTATGTACAACAGAATGAAACATTGCCTGGTCCTGTGCCAGCCTCACAATTCTTGCCATACTTGAGCCCACATTGTAGCCACTGTGTCAATCCATCTTGCTGAGGGCCTTCCTCTTTTTTGTTGACCCTCTACTTTACCAAGCATAATATCCTTCTCCAGGGAATGGTCCGTTCTGATGACAAGACCAAAGTAAGTGAGACTAAGTTGGCTATTCTTGCTTCCAAGGAACATCCTGGCTACACTTTTTCCAGGAAAAATTGGCTTGTTGTTTTGGCAGTCTATGGTATTTTCAGCATTCTTCACCAACATCACAGCTCAAAAGCATCAATTCTTCTTCAGTCTTCCTTATTCATTGTCCAGCATATGAGGTGTTTGAAAATACCATGGCTCGGGTTAGGTGTACCTTAGTCTTCACAGAGACATCTTTGCTCTTAAGCACTTGAAAGAGGTCTTTTGCAGCAGATTTGCCCAGTGCAATATGTCATCTGATGTCTTGATGTTTGCTTTCATTGGTGTTGATTGTGAAACCAAATAATATGAAATCTTCAATAACTTCAATCTTTTCTCCATTTACTGTGATGCTGCTTACTGGTCTGGTTGTGAGGATTTTCATTTTCTTATGTTGAGATGTAATCCATACTGCAGACTGAAGTCTTTAATCTTCATCAGTAAGTGCTTCAAGTCATCCTC